TCTTGCGAACTGAGCAAGACTTTCATCTGGATACTCCAGTTATCGTAATTGGTCTTCATCAGCTTCGGAATCTGTGGCTGGATCATGTTCGCCATCTCGTACACGAGCACCTTCGGTTGGCCCGGCTAGATCGAACTCCGCTCTGATACCAATTTGATGGAATGAACCCTCTACAAATGAGGACTTGAACAAACACTTTTGGATAAAAGATGGACTTCAACTCAAATTTCTCTTTGATATAAAATATTACAAAACTACAAGTCACTTCCTCACTCTTTCTCTCTCTAAATAATCTTCTCACAGCCACTCTACTCTCTCTAGGCTTCAGCCTATCACACACACTCTTAGCTCTAGAGAGCCTACTTTTATAGCCTTTTTCTTTTCTCTTGCTCACTTCCCCTTGATCCAAAACCGAATGGCTGAAGTCCCTTTTATAGGGATCAATGTCGGTTTTGTCTTCTTTTCTAGAAATTTCCAAAATCCTCCATGGTAATTTCCACAAAACTCCATGGCAAGTTTCCAAAGTTTGCTAGATAAATGGAGAAACTTCTAGGTTCTTGAAGAAGTCACTGCTGCATGACTTCTAACAGGTATTTTGTACTTTCGGTTGGGAGGCAAAACCAGATTGAAGTTTGGACGAGTAGGTAGAAGTAGGCTCTTTTTAGTTTCCATTTATGTATTTTGCTGTCGTCATTCATAGTGTTTGAAGAACTCTCTTCAACAAATGAGGCAAATTCATATTAGCCTTGCATGAACTGATATCTCCCTTCAGCAAATGAACTGAGAGCCCACGGTTAGAAAATTGTGCCTCCAGCTGATTCTCTTTTCAGCAAATGAACTTGCATGAACTGGTATCTTTGTGAGAGTCCACGGTTAGAAACTTGTGTCTGAAACCTATATTGGTTATAAGGGTACTCCTGGTATAAAAGTGGAACTGTTGCTGAATTTGTATATGTGCAGTATCTGGGCATTTTGGTTTTTTTGTAGGTTTGGTTGAGAGGCAAAGGCCATGTGGCCTTGTATATACTATAAAGCACATGAGCATGAAACAACAAACCTTATTGGTAGGATTTGGGAATACAATAAACACCATATGGGATACAATCATAGTAGTTAGGCAGATATCAGAGATATGGATGACATATTAAGGGATGAAAAAATAACAGTTTTGGGGACACTTGGTAGTTGCTCAGCAACTCTTTCAAGTCTTCTCTTTTACTAGAATTTAAAAGTCTTTTCTGAGTTGTATTTTCAGTTGGCAGATACTGTAGTTGAGCACTATTTAGTGAAATATTGCGAGGAAGTTAGCACTATGAACCAGTGGTTAATGTTGTACTTTTACACACTTCTGTGCGATGGGCTGTTCTGGATTTGAATATTACTTTTTTGTTATTAGTGGAATATTACTTTTGTTATTAGTGGGACGTGTGTTATCATGCCTATTAAATCGTTAGTAGTATATAACTGGATCTGCCAGTTTGATTTTTTTGATATGAATTGGGTTTAATGATCATTTGAGTGGCTGCTGGCATGCCGGCATCTTTGATGAAGGTTCAAAGATGCAATTTCTTACATGCGTCAATCACTGGCCAACTCTTGTGACTTGTATATTCGAATGAACATACTCTTGAGCTGTTCCTCAATTCTATAAACATCAGAACTTCTCTCAACATATAATTTGGATCTTTAATTGCAGACAGGCAAAAGGATTGCTGATGCAGAACTTACAGAAGACTTTAGAACAATCCTGAATGACTTCCAGAAAGCGACGCGTCTTGCGACTGAGAGGGAATCAGCATATGCCCCTATAGTTCCCAAAGCAATTCTGTCATCAAGGTAGACTGCTTTGAAGAACTGAGCTGTTTACAGAAGAAAATTATTCCTGGTAACATTTAGGATTGCACTTACTCTGTTTCCTGCATTTCCTGGCTATATTATCTTGATGTCAATTGTTTACATATAAAGAAGAACTCAAGTGGTAAGAACCATAAAACAACCTTAGAAAAATGTACGTATATGAATCACCACAATGTATTTTAATTGTTATCGGTTGTAATAGGTTGGTAGTAGTTTAAAAAACTGATGCAGCTAGGAATCTTGGTACCTTCTACTATATTGATAAATTGACTAACTATCCTTGCAATGTTTTCTAGAGGGGGAAAAAATAAACATTGCAGTTGGAGCCGAAAAAAAAAGTATGTTTTCCTGCATTGTTTCGTGTCATGTATATCATGTGCGTTATTTTTAGCATTTCATAATGTAAGCAAATATCTAGATTTCAGGGGATAAATTTGCATATATTGAATATTTGAGGAAGTATAGGAACACAACCCGTTGAGGACCCGACTCTGGCAGTTGTAACTAAAGAGGTTAAAATTGGAAGTTTACCCTTTTGCTGTTTACGATATAATGGCGTATGTGGAAATATCTAGATTTGGGTGTTTAATTTTCAAATATGAGAGCTTTGGGGGTTTATAGGCAAATAGCTCTACTTCAAAAGATTACGTAAGGTTTGAGGTCTGTTAATTTACATCAGCACAAAACATTGAATTAATCACATGTTCTTTTCAACGATATGGGGACTCCGTTTATGGTATTATTTTTCATCTTTTTAACCCCATCTTCCATGGAAGGGACTGATGCAATTACTGTTGTTGGCTTTTTGGAGCTGAACTGGTTGAAAGAGTTCTAGTTTAGTCCCTTTCTCCTTCTATACGGATGCAATCATTTAATTGACTTCTAGTAGCTAACTTGGTCTGCACTTATAGTTGATTTCTTTTTACCCTCTTGGGTAAAATGCTGGACAAAGTGTTATGTCCACTGTGAAAATTCAATTGTATCGTGCACTCGCTGGTCCAAAATGGTCTCTGAGATGCTTTTCAAATTATGATTTTATTCCTAAATAATTTCCAGCCTCCTCAATGAAGAGATTCGGCGCAAGGTCGATGAAATGGGCGGAATGTGTCTGCATGGTGGAATGAAGTTGGTCCCTGTAGCTGAAATCGGTACGTAGAACAAACATGAACAGTCATATGTAGGACCTTAGAAGGTTTTGGGAGGGCTTAAGCTTATAAGCTGTGGTAGCTTTTTGCGGCTTTTGATTTGTGTGAATTTTTGTTTTATAAGACTTGTGTGAATAGAAGTCGTTTGCTTGGACAAACTTTAGTTTATTTAGACCAGTTTATTCGCTAGTTTTTCAAAGTTGGGAAACCCCAACTTCTTTAAATGGGGAAACTAGGTTATTTGCGATATCACAAACAAAAATGTTGTTTGGCTCGCGCTTTAACGCGCGAGGCAACTCGCACAGAGAGAAGAGGGTGGGACCCAGTGTGCCAGTGGGGCCCACCCCTCCTCTCTGTGCGAGTTGGCTCGCGCGTTAAAGCGCGAGCCAAACAGCACGACCCTATCGCAAAACATGTAGATATCTATAAGCTAGGCTTAGAAGCTACTCTGAAAGAAAAAATAATAATAAGCTCCCTAAACACTCTCTTCATCTTGTTGGCTAAGCTTGGTTTTGGCTACGTAGATAAAGCTGGTTCCAACAATGAAAAATCTGCTCCTGAAACTACAGAAGAACAATGTTGGCTCGAAAAGGCAGCCGAAACGCATCTCTGGTATGCGTGGTGAAATTAAGTGTTTGGATATTATTATCATTCCTCTTTTTTTTAGATTATTTTTTTTTTATTTTTTCCCTCATTGTTTTTGCTTTGCAGACATGCTTTGCTTTTGGTGGTATTTAGGGTCATCCGACTCGCTTTCGTCCGTGCTTGCTGCAAGTGTTGCTGGCTATGGTGGGTGGTGGCGTCTCTGATCCAAGTTTATAATAAAGCAACGGAATATCCGTGTTGAGAAATTACAATTTATGTTCAGTACAAAAATATAATTGATTTACCTCTTGAACAATTCCATTTTCTCAAAATCAACTAAATGCCTTTTTTTTCCCCTTCTGGCCTGACTAGAGGATTGTACATGGTGGCGAGAGATTGATCTCGGTTTTTACTATTGATGCTGGTGCATTTTTTTTAGTGTCCTTTCTGTTTTTCTGGCGTTTTTATTGCTTAATATTTTTGGTGGTTCTATAACGAGGAGGGTTTGGCAATATGCAAGAGCGTAGAAATTCGATACCTTTTATCAAAGAAAAGAGCATGGATGATCCCAAGAGGGTCTAGCCAAGTTGGTAAGCTACTATGAGTAGTACTTCAAGATATCAGGTTCGACTCTCATAGGAAGCATCCACGAGAATTTAATTTCCTAAAATAACCCAGGCTTTGCAAAAACATGATGCTATACATGAAAGAAGCTTCTTTCTTGCACAAATTATAGAGATAAGGAGAGACCTCATATGCCAAAATCATATAGAAAAAAATTAAAGAAATTAGAGGATCTATCAATACAGGCAGTTCATGTAACGCGTAAAATAAACTAATTAGAGTTTGTTGGTTTTCATGCACTAAATTAAATATAAACCAGAAATGTTTAAAGCATCATATTTTACAAACTTTTTGGTTTAGTTTCCAAAAGAATATGGACTTGAAAGAAGCTTCTTTCTTTCAAAAAAATTTTGTGTTTGTTTGCACTTCACCAAATTGAGCTGCCTTCTTCTCAGCTAAGCCTTCTATAATTTTCCTTGATTTCAAGTGCACGCATCCCAATCGCGAGCGTTAATGGACATTGAAGCTGAATTTTGCTAATGACAGCAACTGTAGCTCACATAGGACAGTTATCAGAGAGAAACTAGTTTCAAACTGAGATATTACTAAAGGCTTCACCTGTTGTATATGTATGATCAATTCTTCTCTGCTTACTTCAACGTAAACATAGTTGCATTATAAAAAAAAATATGGCACTAGTAGGAAAAGCAATTTCACTGTTCACTGCATGGTGCCAAAATTTGATGACACTTGAAGACAATAGTTCACAGATCCACCTCATTACAAAGACAGTGCAAATTGAAGCCGTCCATGCATTATTGCCTCTATTCAAA